GGTTTCTTGTCTCAAATAGACTTACTTGAGATGTATTCAAAAGTTGAAATTAGTTGCGCATCCACTTTTTGTTATTCAAGTTTGAAATTATATTATGCAAGTTTGCTGAATTTCAAAAACTGTGAGAGATAAGAAAAGAAAATCGCGGGTTGGTGAAGTAACAGGTGATAAAGTACTCTACAGACAGGAATATTTATGAAAGTGAAAAGGTTATTACATTATTTTTTATTGCCAGTCGCTTAAGTTTTATAAAAGCTTATTTTGTGATGTCAATAGAAAATACAAATCAACGCTTGGATGTGAGGCACTGCGAAAATGTTTGATCTGTGATGACTATGATTCCTATTTTTTATTTGATGTGGTTCTGAAGGTAAGTGAATATACTTATTTTTTAATATACATGAAATGTGTCATGATTTAAGGCCATTGTCCTCTTACAGGACAATGTTAAAAGGAATTAAATTTAAAACTTTTTACTTAACTGACTGGCAGCTGCCATAACGTGTCATCTGTCACTAATATCAGGATCATGAAGCCTGCCTTACAATGTCTTACAATGGTTCCATGGTTCCGTGATCTCTTCTTCAAGTAATAATAACTTTTATAAGAGTAAATAGTTAATAATATAATTTGTAATAATGCTTCTGTTTTTTGTGATTTGTGTTTGAGTTCGTGCAGTGAAAGCCAAAGGGGCTTCGTATGATTTAGTGCAAGAGATTTCTGAATTACACCATTATGGATTTATTTTGAATGGTAAATGTAATGTTTTTCAACATTATGTGATGCTACTAATGAATCAAATATCATTGGTATCAATCGTCGTACAGGGTTATTCACCTACACAAGTTGTAGAAGAGGATTTACTGTATTTTAACACAATGGTGGACCTATTGTACCAAGATGTAATTCCTCACAGTATAAAGCGAAACAATTTCAAAAGTTATTGGTTCATTATTTGTTCCATACTTGCAGATTCCTTTATGTTGGTATATCACAAAATTATCAAAATGAGTAATTTTGGAAGCATACGGCTTATGGGTAATACCTACACTTAAATTAAGTCATTTCTAACAGAATCTGTTGAATGTGTAAATTGTCGAAATATTTTCTCCACTATAATTGTTGATCACATTCATTTTATTTTTCTTGGAATTAAAAGTGTATGAGTATTATTAATAAATAACTTTTGACGTAGGTAGATTTTTACATTATGAAAACTCGTGTTTCAGCACTATGTTATTGAGACGTTATTTGAAATAGTTGCAAAAACATATCGAGTGTAAACCATAATCACAAAGAATCTGTTTCAATTATAATTTATCTGCTCATTTTGTGCCGAACGTGCATTATTTGATTGTAAAACAAAGAGCGTCCAAAGATGGTTTTCTTGAGATCAACGAATAAGAGTACTATTCATTTTTACTTGAAACATTATAGTATATGTTCTGGTTGTAGCGTTGAAAATAAAGGTCAAAGAAAATGGTGATTTGAGTAACTATTGTCTTCATAAAAGAAGATGTAGCAGAATGTTGGTAGAGGAATGAAAACTTTAAAGTTAATAGATGATTAGGATGATCCTGATGAATACTGGGAAATATATAAAGTATGTTCATTGGGTGGCAATGGTTAGCAATCATATCTTCAGCAGTATTTAGGATTGTAACAATTTGGATATTTGGAGTTTGGATATTTGCTGCAACTGAACTATTTTTTTTCACTAGATTTTAATATTGTCAAAAGAAAAGCGGAGAAAGCCAAAACTACCACCTATTATATATGTGCACATTATAATCTGCAAGGATTAGAAACTTCGGACTCTGATATAGAATGCACAGTTTTCTCTGCATTTCAGGTAAACATTTTTTAAGGTATTGAAAGAATTGTCTAAAGTCGCTTCAAATGAATTGCCTCAGATGAATGAAAGATTCATTTTTTAAAGTGATCTTCATACTATCCATATAGATTTATTGTGATTGCTGATAATGTTACATGTAAATGGTCTGTGTCAATAAGCTATGAAATATGAACTAGATATCAAACACCAAGTCCCATTAGTACCAGGGTTGCAGTGTTTTAGCTGTTGTAGTGCTAATACAGTCATTAGAAACACTGTACATCCTTAGCACATTCAAAAGAAATATATAGTCAATCACATTTGCTGTACCAATTAATGCCACCTATAACAGGTAATCAGAACACTAAATTTGAGGCAAATAGAACGCTAGGATTTTATTAGCTACTTTAAGAATCTGGGCAGCCATATCTCAAATATAGTTACTAGTAGTCTGATAATGTCTCTGACATAAAGATGATTCATTCTTTATGTGGAACTTTGTACCAATTTGTACCATTCAATTGTACAATCTGCAAAAAAACAAAGCTTGCTAGGGAATGAAATATTGAGTTTGCTATCACAATCCACCATAGATTAACAGAGATAGAGAAAAAAACTTTCAATAAATCAACTTTCTCAAAAAAAAACATTTCATGAAGATGGAAATACGATTTTATAGTATCAAACACAGAGATTCAATCACATCAAGTTTGATATATCACGATGAATAACTTCTAAAATCCTAATATGGCAATGAATTCTCTATACACACAACACTAGTTTAAATCAATATAAGGAAATCAATAATTCATTGCCACTGTCTTCCAAGGAAAAATTTTAAAGTTTTGAAGAAGAATGGCTAGATTGAAAAGTAATTACAATGTACTGGTTCTACATTTAAATTGCTAATATCCTGTATGAAATATAGTAAATAAGTGTGTACAAAAACTTTTTAAAGTTAATATTTGAAAATGGTTTTCAGGAGAATCAGCAATGAGTTACTCTTGGGATGGTCATAAACAATATGTGTAATGTGCATTAGGTACGTATTAACAATTTTCATTTTACAGCTTCTACAACTATATTGTACGTATGGTTACCAGGTAACCTAAATTGTATTGGGAGATCTGAATTTGAGGCAGGAATTTAGGCGTAGGACATTTAGTAGCCTCACTGTCATACAAAAAAATATTGAAATTACAAATTGCTCTTAACGTTTTTAATTCGATTCGGCTACTTACTAGATGAAAAAACTATTTTTCCTTCATGTTGCAACTTCTGATGTGACAGCTGAAATTTTCATCTTGATCGACCATATCAAAGTAGAGCTTCACATTAAAACTAAGGGTGCAAAAAAATGTATGGAAAATAAACAGTGGGCGGAGTCTGATAAAAAAATATCTGATCTTCTGTTATATGAATTGTCAAAAAATAACTCCTTTTGTATATGAATTGTGCATTAGTCTAATAAAAAATGTCCTTCATATGCTGCTCCTCCCCTTGGAAATCGACATTCTGCAATTTTCAAATTTAAACCTGGCAACCCTAAATGTGTGTCAATTGTTTACCAATAACTCTATGTTTTTAGACGCCGACCATATTCCTTCATGTTGGAGTATGGAAGCATTAGTATCATTAAGAGATGGCTAATCAGAGCCAAGGAGAGGTCAAAAAAATCATGAGCTCCATTTGTAGTTACATACATTTTAGATTATAAAAATATATGTGTATTTACACCTGGTGTTTTTATTCCAATATGTGTAATTAGACAGCTCTTGAAGCTAACTTAAAAAATGTTTAGTCATTACAATGAAAGAATCTCATTAACTTTTAAATCCAAAATGCATTATCAATTAAACTACTGCTTTGATGCGTTCAGGACCGTCTACAGGCAAACGTAGGAAAGAAAATACCAATATAGGTGGGTAACGCCAAAGCCCGTTCCATTCTTATGGATTGAGAGCCGGCTTTAGAGATACCAACAGCGTCGATCTTCGAATATATTTGACAAGTGGATCTTCTCTGTTGACTGGTGATTCGAAATTATTTGGAAAAGGGGCAACACCAATACTCCCCTACTGAGCGAGGCCGTGGCAAATGCTTGTACCGGAAGTTGTTGAATTCAGTATATAACTTCTGTCCGTCCAAGTGATTGTACACGCTTTAAGGAATACCTCAGTACCGATACGACTGCTCCTTGGTCCCCATGGTGTCGAGATTGTGGAACAATCTACAAGAAGCTTTTCCCAGTTGTACTAACCTTAGGTAGTTCAAAAATCGTATTAGCAAAATGTCTTTGTGTATCTCATAGTAGCCGCCGTGCCTGTGTGGATAGTTCGGCGTAAAGATATTCCATGAAACAGGGAGTTATTAAAATGTATCATGTATCTGAAAAGATTGATCAAGTAGCTGGCAAGATAAAAGGAATTATGGATAAAACTATAAAACAGTTAAAAATAAGAAAACAACAGCATTAATAGAATACATTTTATTTATTCTATAAGATTCCTCATAAGACTTCCTAATATATAATAAACTCACATTCTTCTTTCCATCAATAAAATCAATCATTTAAATATCTGGGTATGCATGTGGATAGTAAACTACTGTTTCACGAGCAATATGTATACATTATTTCAAAGGTATCAAAAAAAATAAATTACTTCTATAGAGTTTCCCATGATCTTAGTTTGAATTCAAAAAAATGTACATAACACCATAATTCTTCCACATATTTTATATTGTTCAACTATTTTGTTCACAAATGAAAACATATAATCAAAATAACAAATTCTACAACACAAAGCTATGGGGATCATTTTAAGTAAAAACAAATATGCTAGGATTTAGTCTATGTTAAACGAACTACAGTGGTTGAATGTAAAACATTTCATATGCTATTTAGTTTTCATTTTGATATTCAAAATGAACAACCATTTATTACCACTACATTTAAAAAACTTCACAAAATTAAATAGTTATTATCATAACTATGAAAACAGAGGCAGTATAGGTTTTTATCTACAAAACTGTAATAGTAGCATAACTAGCAAATATGTAAACTTATTCGAATTTAAAAATGTTTAAGGTGAAATTATAAAGTTATGAATACTCAAAATACATAGTCATGTAATTTTAATATACTAGTATGTAAAATTACAGAGAATGGATTCAAAAAAATATGTATACGTATAATTACACAAAATTGATACTGTAGCATTAATGCTAAATTAATCTGGAACAAACAAATAAAAATCATATTGTGGTTTTAAAAAAACTTTGCATGGTGCAGCGATGTAATTTTTTTTCTAACACAAATGTATGGATGCCAAATTATTTTTTGTGGGTTTTAGAAAGTGAGGTGTAGGCCTGGAAATATATATTTTTTTCATACAATTTGATGACAATAATGATAAGTTCAAATTGGCGTTATGATGGTGCTGGAGCAATTTCTGACATTTAAAAAAAACGCGTTTATAGGGAATTGAATTCATAACTTTTCTTTTATAAAACAGTAAATATGTTACAAGAAAATTAAGGGTAAAATTAAATGTAATGACATTTTCGCTTAAAATGGCTAAACTAACAAGTGTTTAAAAGATTCTTATTCTTTTATGTAGAAAATAAAATGATTGTTCAAGTGTATGGAGCGTAAGTCAAAAATTTATACGAAATTGTCGCGCGGCATACTCAGCGCTGTACGCACGTGTCAGTATACATCTAATATTTTCAGATATTTCATCATGTAAATTCAAGTCGCTCACTTCCACCAGTCTGTTTATTGGCCATTTTGTCACTGGGTACAATCAGCAACCGTTGCAACGATTTCAATGGAAAGGGAGTGATGCAATAAACTAGTATTACCTACTACATCTCATGTTCCATTAGAATCGGTGAAATTACTCAGTGACAAAATCGCCAATAGACAGACTGATGGGAGTGAGTGACTTGAACTTCATAATGAAAAATTGTCACTGGGTACAATCAGCAACCGTTGCAACGATTTTAATGGAAAGGGAGTGATGCAATAAACTAGTATTACCTACTACATCTCATGTTCCATTAGAATCGGTGAAATTACTCAGTGACAAAATCGCCAATAGACAGACTGATGGGAGTGAGTGACTTGAACTTCATAATGAAAAATATCACAAATTATCAAAAAATATTAATTTTCCATGCTTTTACGTGGTAGACGTGGTAGTATGAATGTGCAGTTATTTTCACGCGAAATAATGTTGTACGCCGATTAAGAGGACCACGTACATATGTATGTAGCGTCAGGACTATGTCGGGCGACTGCTTGATACGAATTTTTATACTTTAAGAACCAATAAAATGTCCAAAAAACGTAAAAGATCTTTTTTATACCAAATTGCATTTTCTACAAAACGTAGTAGGGTTTTATACTCTTGGGTTCTTAGTCTAGCCATTATAACCGAAAATATCATTACATTTTTTTCTTTTTTTTATACTCCAACTACCACGAAGACCTAAGGCCTAAACACCATTGGGTACCGTGGGGCTATGTACCTTTACCCTTAATTTTCTTGCAACCTGTTGACCAATACAAGTTTTTATAAAAGCAAAATCATGGACAATTTAATTATGCCCATATTCGTTTCTATATTACCTTTTTACATAGGATCGATTGTCTTCGATATTGTCAATTAAATGCGTTTATCAAAATGACGGCAAATACTCGAGCATTGACATGATGCCAATTTCTACTTACCATTAGGAAGCAATATTGTAACGATATCACTAAAAAGTTACCGTCGCCCAAAGTGTAAAATTTCCTTATACATAATCTCCCTATTTCGTGGCATAGACTGTCAAAACATTAACAACTTCATGTTTCCCAAAACAGAAAATGACTTTCCTGGAAAAACGTTTAGCAAGTGTGATAACTAGATCATACACGATACCATGTCATTGACTAAACATTTTTCAATCTTGTAGACATGGTTTTTGAGCATATTTTCTGACAAAAAAAGGGCGCCCATTGTAAATGCTCTTATGTGAATAAATTTTGTATACAGTTAGAAGTGAGCAAGAGGAAAACGTGACCTAACTTATTGCCACATACATTCTCGTACAGTTATCGTAGCGTGCTTCTGATGAGGTACCTCATACCAAACTCAATGTGAAGTGTTGCTAATGTTGGTAGAGGATAAGGTAAAGAGGTCGCTCTTCTTCCCATCATTCCCAACGAATGTTCATTTGACGAATGCTGCCAAGAGATGATAATGATTTGGCTGTTATTGAGAAACCATACTTTAGCTCTACTCTAGTGTGTCTCCTAGAGTGGCAATGATCTATTCCATATAACTTCCTGGTAGTTGGAGTCGACTGCAACTCTTTGCATACATCTCTGTGATCTAATATTCTAAACGCAGGTCTTGAGGAAACCTAAATCAAATGTAATATATCAGTTAGGAATGAAGTCAAATAGATTGCCTTGGATGGATGTGAAGTTGGCAGACAAATTGTTGCAGACAATTCGCCGAAGATACCCGAATGATTACTGGGGTCGACATCTTAAAACAGTCTCTGATTGACAAACATACAGAGCTGAGGACCTGCAGCAATAAATACATATTAGCCATAAAGAAATATTCAACCGACGAGGATAAGCACACTCATAGGGAGAATCATTTTCCACCCCAACTAAATAATTCAAAAGGTTAAAACCTATCCCAAAATATTTCTTCCAATCAAATCACTTATAGATTATTGTATATATGGTATTGAGGTAATTATTGAGCAAAAACGCATATAGTGAGCAGATAAAAAATATAAATTATAGTTCATTTTCACCCTGACACTTTGTGAATCGAGAATTCGAGTATCTTTGCTAAATTGTTTGCTATATTTTGTTATCCAAGTTCATACCACTTTGACTTGTACTTCCCGCGAATTAGTAAAAATCTCACACAAACGTAAAGAATTTAACAAACTTTTAAAAACGATAAATATTCCCAAAATAGGTTTGTATTTAAGAAACAATGTCAAATGTGTGTAACAGAAAATACTGGTCGTCTCACAAGAAACAAGAAAGTATGAAGAAAGAATGCATTCAATTTCCAGGTGTTTGAGCACACTAATAATGTTTGATCCTTTTGGAAACAGTGTTTTGAGCAAGCTAAAAAATTGACAGAAAAAACTGAAACTTAAAGGGGTTCTGATGCGGATTGTTTTTGCCAATGTCACTCAATAATATGTTTAATTTGTGAATAAATATTATTAACTTATGTGATTTGATAGGGTTAATTGATTAAAATTTAGTTCAAACTTATTGTATAATCAGTGTACTGTCCAAATGTTCAAATATTTGAATAATACAGTAAAACCTTTGTAAATAGTGGAACATAGATGTTTTTGATGATGACGACTAAATCATCCATTCAATATTATCTCTCTGCTTTACTTGCTTCAACATACTGCTCACCATGGTCAACTTGACCCTACTGATTGCTGTGTTTGAGGCAAAGAAGAGGATGAAGGTTCAAATAAAATCAAACATCTGTAAAATTCACAGAACAAGTTGCATGAAAATTATAATTATGCAGAAAGTATAGGTAAAACAAATTAATGTTGATACTGGGTCTTCCAAATGGCTACTTGACTAATCTTACTAGCAAGAAACAATTATATATGAGTTACAGTTGAATAGCACATTATGAATAACAATTATATTCATCTCTCCCTACATGCCTCAGATTCGGTTAGTAATTGCCTACTTCTCAACTTAAGCACATAATGACATTGTAATTGTTTAGATATGGAAGATGTAAAACTTACCAATCATTCGCCTGCGGTAGATATTTATATTGGCGAAACTTGACTGATAATGTCTTCAATTGATAGAGCTGTTTTCCTTTGTGAACCACCAAAAAAAGCCAAACGATCTATAGATGTCAGAGCTTCCTTCCAAACCTTGTCCATTCATTGTACAAAAATGTAAAGGAATTTCTTAGTGTTTGGGAATCCATTTCATATACTTTCCTGGCAACCTTTGACTACATATCTGCAGTACTGATGTATTATTTCTGGAAAATTCAATAATGCAATACTATCACAATTAGTGATCATGAAAGGCTATCATATGAATTGTTGAATAAATTCCATAATGTTCAAATCAAATATTATGAATGCTTGATACTCGGTTAACAGAGGTCTCCAATCTACGTTTAGAATACTGGCCTCAAAAACAACAGCTGTATGACAGCAATGTGTGAATTTCACAATATAAAATTCAACATAACACACATTACATGGTACATTCGAATACAGACATTTATACTGCTAACTAGGTTTTTATATAGAAGAACTGCTTCTTCAGCAAATTGATCATTCAAATATTATGTAATCATTAAAGAGTGATTTATAAAGTGGGGTTATTTTAGTGATTTCATGTTCAGCCAGCAAATTTGCAGTTACAACTATATCGTTATTTAATTTTACTAATACTTTTACAATATAACATTAGATTTTGAGTATATCTGACTGAAATACCAGCACTGAATCTATTTCTTATTCCAGTATGCTTCCATTTACTTCTTGCTTATCAATGAGGTCTATCAAAACTGAGTTATGATTTCATTTTCATTCTTTCTCAATAGAACTACCAAAATTAGAGCTAAATCAATTTGAATAATATACTGTCTACCTAGTTTTGTAGAAGTGTATAGACAATCTTCAAACAATCATAATATATGGTTTTAATAATAAGTGAGACAATTGTGAAAAGTGGAAAACGCATCCACAGTTTTAGAAACTGTGCTGGAGTCCTTATGCACTGTTAATGTTTCCTTCCATTAATACAATACTTGGATACTGACCACTAGAATTTGAGTTCAACAAAATGCTAATTTGAGTAACATACAAAAGATGAATTAATTCAATCACTGCAGATGAGAATTAACTAAGTGGAATCTTATATTTTATACCTACACATTGCAATTATATTCACTGTACACTGTCGAATATGAGTCATATACATGCTAACAGTAAAGTACACACAACGCGGGCGCGGTGATGATTTTTTTTCATTCTTCCCAAAGTTTTTGTAAACACAACCATAACTTTGAACATAACCTCTCTTCAGAGAGAACAACAGTAAAGTAGACTTAAGCGACCTTTTTTACATAAATTTGAAATCATGAAGTGAATATCGTACCCACTTAAATTATGGAATATAACCGGCACAACAAACAATTTTCTAAAGTTCAGATTGCACGCTTGGTGTGCGTAACCTCTGAACTTCCCACTGAAATGGCTGTGATCTGTAACGATTATGTCTTTGTTTGAAAATCTCTTACCGCGAATATGAAATGATATTGTCTTACATGTGTCTAATTTTTCAATCATAGGTACGATTGTTTTTATTTTTGAGTTTACAAATTACGCAATACGAGCCATACAATTCGCATACCAATCCATACAATCTGCACATCGATAACTCTCGAAATAAGAAAGGCTATCATCATAGTTGCATTTTAGATAGAAACCAGCACTATACGGAACGTGTTTTTGATATTTTATTGTTTTACTTAAATTTACGCTACTTTGTTTATAATTTTCTAATTGACATTCAAAATCTGCATAAACAACAAAAGGAGTATTTTGTTGGTATGTAAAGTTTTTAAATTCAACGTAGCTCTCTCTCTAGGAAGGTTAATTTTATATCTGTTAAATTTAGAGCACAGTTTTTCATGTTCAACTAATTTGTTTTGCTGATGAAAATAGTTCATACATCTATCGCAAATACATTTTTTCTCACGATCCTTATTCAACTGACTACTAATAAGACGCGAAAGATCTTTAATCCAACAATAGTGATATTTAATCTCATCGATAGAATCATTATCTTCATCCGCTAGTGGTGGGGGGGCATCATAATCATTTAGACGCCGATAATATTTATTTTGAACTAAGAGTAAATTAATATGCGTGTCCCGCTTATTTCCCGTTAATCTTGCCGGTACTACTGTGTAAAATGATGTTTTTGGTGTTTTAATTAATTCTAAACCGTAAACATTGACTGAAATATTACTCAGCTGTTCAAATTTTGAAATTTTTATTAGCGGTATAGCGCTATCTAGCTTTTCTGTTTGTAAAACGTCAGTAAAGTATGGATATGAGGAGGTTAGTTCTGCATGTCGTTTATTCCTAGGAGCCCGAAGAGCGCTTACAATGGACCAGTAAAAGAATTTTGATCTCTATTTTTAATGTTTATACAAGCTTGTTTTCTTATAATTGGTTCTGGTAGTCTAATATAAAATGAAGCGTTTCCAAATTTATATTTACTGATATTAACAGCCAAAGAAATAATTTTATTTAACGCAAATCCCGAATCTTTTTCGGCAAATTCCGATAATTCTTTTAAAAGTTTCTCTTTTACATATATCTTAAACCACTCGTCTATTTGATTTGACGCATCAGTAATATGATGTTTAGTATTAAAATATTTGATTCCCAAAATTTCATTATCACCCGATTCCTAATAAACTCCCCGTAAAATGTTGTATTTACTTTGAGCGCAGAATGGGTTTTCAAAATTCACTAATTTTCCTTTTAAAAACAACTACACAATCTGCCAAAAATTGATTCAAGTCCTTATGACGTAAATTAGCTATAGAACCGGTTGTTATTCTACTTTGAAAGCTTGATTTTGAGTTCTCCCATCTAACCCTCTGACCCAATGTTAAACGAAGTCCTCCTGTCCCAATATGTCTATTTAAAATCAACTTTCTCAAATGTTTAAAATGTCCCAAATTTGTTTCTATTTTTCTACAAGTCCCTACAGATAATTTATTTTGTTTCCTACTACGAATCACCCTTTTACATAATCTAATTTGTTTTTCTATTCGTGTTAGCCACACTTCCGCGACTCTTATTGTAAAATTATAAAATAAAATTTTTCGTAAACTAATAATTGATAGTAGAACACCGTCTGTTTGTTTGATGATATTTTTTACCTTATTTGAAGACATTCGAAAAGACATTTTGTTTTTCAGAAAAAAATAACACTTTAATCAAACAAATTACGCAAAAATATATAAAAAATTGCTCACCCTGTCCTGTTTTTTCTAGAGTCCGTTAATTTTCAACTATTTTAAATGATGCTAGGAGTCGGCTTTTCCCTATGTCCACTTCCTCTTGGAAGATTAGTGAGCATTTGCCGTCACAAAGTTCATTGATAGCCGTTCGGTATGCTTCAGTCACCCGCTGAGGTAGAAATAGAACTTCTTCAGGACCTAAACCCAGTAGAACTGCTTCCCCAAATTTCGAGTTGACCACTTTTGCTGCGTGTATCGCAAAGGGTGTCCCAACTGGCAGGTTCTCCAATCTTCTCACTGCTTTGTGGTCTCCAATCGAAGATGCAGCATTAATTTTTGCCAAATCCATCTATAACAAAATTGAGTCGTCTTACTACTTTGAAGCATAAAACGAAATAAACGTACTAAGCAAAAATGAAGGTGAGAAACATTCATTATCTTACACGAACACTTTAAAAAAACATAGTTGCACTTAGAGACATAAAAAAGAAAAATATTAAATAAAATAGCACTTGTTACCTTTTAACTTCACTCCGCTCTCTTGTAGCACTATTGTACTGTGGTTGGTGTTGTTGTTGTAGCGGTGAATGTGAAAGAATGATACCTACTGCATGCGCTCGTTCAATATAAATAGATGATCGATATGACGCAAGTGCATGGGATAATTGTAACGTAAAAATGTATCATCGTCTCAGTACCACTATTACCGAGAAAACAACACGTTAAACATTCTTTGCGGTTGCGGCATTTTGCATATCATTTCTTAGTAATACATGAATGCATCGTTTATCCGGAAATTCCAGAGATGTCTTGTGTATTATGCCTCGTTTAAAAATCGCAAATACATTTATTACTAATATGATGCTTAACAGCATAATCGATATATCATGTTGAGCGGTGCTGTCACTATTTGTAGCCTTGTGTGTATGTCCCTGCGACCAGTGGGGCTAGCGCCATTTTTAGGACACGTCTTGCTATATACGATAAGGTCTGTGTCCTCCATGAGCGACCACCACACACTTGCCATGTAAATGGGGCTTATCTCGATCTGACGATATACCGTCGGTCCATTGGTCCATCGACCCGTCGGTAAGCGGTACCCTGTTGCCATGCGGGTGGGGTCCCATCTCGACCTGTATGTGGACCATTCTACGACACATGATCAGCGCCAACCTACAGACAGGTGCGACAACTCATCACTGACGCATGACGTTTGACACATGACGTTTATGTGGCGCCCTCTAACGGTGAGAGACACAACTCATCAATGACACATGACCTGTGTGGCGCCTTCTAGCGGTGAGAGGCAGAACTCATCAATGATGCATGACACATGACGTATTGTGGCACTATCTAGCGGCGAGATCAACCCATCAATGACACATGACGTTTGACATGTGGCGTTTGTGTGTGTGTGGCACCATCTAGCAGCGAGATCCCCAACTGATCAATGACGTATGACGTCATCCTATCTCTATCTCTCTCCAATACATCGTCCGCCACTCTCTCTCTCTCTCTAACACATTGATTTCCCCATTAGTAAGACCGAATCCCCATACTATACCTACTCCCTTCATCACTTGTCCCTTCTAAATCTAAAATGTAGTGCTTCACCTCAGGTATTTTCTTTTCTCTTCCTGGTCTGCTATATTCACCAATATCATCTAGTTGAGGATCAACTTGTCTTTCATTTTCTTGATGGTGTTTCATGTTGCATTGGTAATTCTGTTTCATTTTCAGTTTATTTTTCTTATGGCTCTTCATTATCTTCATATATTTTCAGATTCTGATTGATGTAATCTCCTCCAAGGTATTAAACAACATACTTGTAAAATTTACGTCTGTGCTTACAAATACTTCTTTTTCTATATTCCATAGACGATAACCATTTTGTGTATATCCAAGGAACATACCATCAATACTTCTTTCATGTTGTTTGTTTAAAGATGATACAACCTTTGCTGCCACTCTTTGACCAAAAACTTGTAGATTACTTGAATCAGGTTTTCTTCCATGCCAGCAGGTGTTTCAGTCATTCCTTTTGCTCGGCTTCTATTGGTTAAGTAGGCAGCAGTTTGAACAGCCTCTCCCCAAAAACATTTGTCTTATCTGCATTCAAAAATCAATGCTCTTGCTTTATTCATCAGGGTCAAGTTCAAACGTTCAGCTTTTGCATTAAACTGCGGGATAAATGGTAAAGTTAGATCTAACATAATGCCTCTAGCTTGACACCAGGATATGAGGAGGTTGTTTTTAAATTCGCCACCATTACCACAGCGTATAGTTGAAGTTTTAGCATTAAATTGTGCTTTACCTTGAACAAAAAATCTTTTATGCACTCAAATACCCCATATGATGAATTTGTTTCCAAAATATACACTTACAGAAGTGAGGATAATCACCCGAGAATGTAATAAAGTAATTCTTACTGTCATATGTCAAAGGTTAATGGGGCCGCATACATCAGTGTGTATTATCTCCATAGGTCGACTAGCTCTGCGTCTTTCTGTACGAAAAGGTAGTATTACCTGCTTTGCTATGGCACAAATGTTGCTTTCCATCTTACCCATTTTTAGATTTATCCCACATAAATTAGGAACTGTCCAACTGTCTATAACTTAAATTTCCAAGTTTTTTGTGCCATTCTTCTGTTTCACTTATTTTCTTCTCTGCACTTCAAGTATTTTCATCCACGATATAATGTCCACTTTCTGTTTTCTTACCTTTGATTACAACATCAAAGTATACTGTCCCATTCTTTTTTGTTACACAAATCACCGATAGAAGGTTTCTCGCTAGCTCTGGTGCATAGTACACTTCACTTAAAATACACTCATCAAATTCAACAGATCCATATCCTTGGATTGACATAGATTGTCCTTGTTTAGAGATATTCACCTCATCTGTGTATGGAACTAAGTTTGCTATAATGTCTCTTTCCTTTGTCATCATTTTGTTACATCCACTATCAACTACCATTTCAAAAGATGCGTCATTTGTGTTACTTTGGAAAGCTTAGAAAGATGTTTTGTTTTGTCTATTGTTGGTTTATTTCTTCATTATGTTCTCTAAAGAAACATTCCTCTGATTTATGGTTCGTCTCTTCACAATAGGTACACGCTTTGTTTTTGTTATGTATGGTTGTTCTTTTTACATATTGGGCAAGGTTTGTATTGTTTTGGTCCATATCCATTCTTTGCTCCCTTGGTTTCTACTTTGAAGGACATTGGGGCTTCTTCTTTATGACATTTGAGCATATCTTCTTCTAAAGACAGCCTTGAAATTATATTTTCAATGTTTATGTCTGGTTGTGCAGTTGAATCCCATGCACTACTGAAATGCTTAAACTTCTCTGTCAAGATTGTCATTATCTTCGACATAACCATACTTTCTGATATATCGTCATTCAAGACTTTTAGTTTGAAAACCAGGTTCTGTATATGGCTTGTATTTGTATGGATAGCTTTTATTTTAAGATATTTGAAATTATAGAATTATTGAAGTAGCAAGCACTTTTCTTGATCTGTATCTTTCTTGAATATTTGCAGTAAAGTATCATACATCTGCTTGGCATTTTGGCAGGTCATCAAGTGGGTTTTCACAGACGTTTATAGAGTTCTGAGGATTGCCTGCTGTGCCAATGCATCTCTTTCTTACCACTTTGCTACTTTTTCTTTATCCACCCCATATTTTACTAGTGTCGAGGTCCCATCTATGATGTCCATTAAATGTTTTGCGCTGAAGAGGATCATTATTTCGGAATGCCACATTGGAAAGTGGTTTTGTCTCTCAGATTTTGGATGCTCGTTATTTCATCGACTTCAACTTTTGCTAAAGCCATGTGGTGTGCGTTCTGTTTTGCCTGCTGTAATTAACTTGAGTCTCGTTTATAATTGTTTTCTTCGCAAAACTTTTTACTTCTTTACGTATTTCAGTGCGTAGACTGGGCCGTACCCTCTCGTGATTTGTTCTTTTTATTAATATGCTTTTGATATTTTGAAATCAACAAAGGAAACGATTTTTACTTTTAGGATATGTATATTTTTAATTACCATGAAATTGACATTTCTATTGGCAAACAGAACTTCACAGAACATGAACATGTTTATGAATTAGAGTCTCATTTCAACAGAAAGGACACCCCTAGATTTCGAGAGCTGACGTGTTTATTTTATTTTTTTGACAAAAAAACGTGACTTTTCACGAGCAACGTCTATTCTTTGTTTTCTCGTCCACCTTGCAATGACGAACCTTGTCTGGGGCGCGACGTTGCCGCTGTTAAACATATTTCATGCACTACATGATAAATATATACATCATAGAAAAAAGTACTAGCATAACCGCGCCTCTTGGAAGCCTGGACTTTCAGAACATAACAAAATGTTAAATGTCATATTAACAATTACTTAAAAATTGGCATCACTGCCACCTTGGTCACTGCTCTTTTGAGCGTAGTCTGTTTGGTTTTGATGCTCACGACACCACACTTTCTCTTCCAGGATGGACGATTCTTCCTAGTGGCCAGCACATAGGAGGTACGTTGTGTTCCTTGATCAGGACCATAGCTCCGACACGTATATTAGAATCTCTTGGGCTCTGCCATTTACTACGTTACTGGCAGTGCAGATATTCTTTCTGCTAACGATTCTAAAAATGTTGCCCCATCAATTGGATGTGTTGATAGCGTTTGACATGGTTAACCTTGTATTGTGCTAGGTCGCGTTCCGGGATAGATGTGAGCGCCTGACCGATCAAGAAGTGTCCAGGAGTAATCGCCTCAAGGTCATTCGGATCGGACGAGATAGGAACGAGGGTCTCGAATTTAAAATTGCCTCAACCTGAGCAGTCAAAGTTAGACCCGGAGCTGTGGGCAAAAAAGGGGGGGTCATGTGATACAGCAGGAAACCTACTCAGAACGATAGTACTCACTTGAGAGCGGTACATGTAAGTACAGGGGAAAATTAAATTTTCTGTCCAGAAGGGGTCGGAAAAGACTAAATGATTTTTTACGGCTTTCTTTAGTATCACAGATGTTAACAAAATAATCAGGATGCACTTAGTGCAGGACGGAAATAATGGTGCCGGAAGCCATAAAAGAATTTTAATTTTCAGTAAATTTCCTATGGCTAAAAATTAATTAATTAACGTACGGCACTGTTACAGTTACCTTTCTGTAATTTTTTACATTTAAAATTTACCAACGCCGTACATACCTGCTGGTACAGGGGTGAGAAAACTTGAATCGCAACCCCCTACCCTTATATAGTATAATGGTGGTGAATTGATACAACTTAAAATTAAATAATTTCAATAGTATTTGATAAATTAACGATAATTTTTATAATGCCGTACATTTTTCGTGGAATATATGGCTACACGGGGAAAATAGTTTTCCCCCAAAAATTGTAATTTTATGGTGAAATGATTTTGTACGGCATTAATGTACTTCATTAATACTTCAGATAATCATCAAGAAAAAATATATGCTGTATATACAGGGTGACTTTGAAGTTGAGTCATTAATTTTCAGATAATGATTGTAGAAGGAAGATAAACCAAAATATGTGTGTAAAAATAAAAAAAAAAAATAAAAAAAAATGTTACCTTGTTTTATAAAGTATCCTCCCGACAAGTATTTCAGTGCGGACCTGTATTTGATCGTGCGGTCTTGGAGCACCGGCATGCCCTCCCCAGTGAGGTCTTAAGTCTCCTGATTCACGAGCCCTTTGTACTACATTAACAAAGGCACGAGGGGTTGGTTGCACTCGATTGGGAAACCGATCCGCATAAATTCGTGATGCCGCGTAAATAAGAATCATGTCCACAAGTTCAGCATTTTCGTAAACATGTGCCATTTTTGATTTCGTTTGAGCCACGCAACAGACACCACTATTCACTCACGCGTTACCGACTGACACTGACTGTATACAACTGAATAAAATAATTTTAAAAACACCTTTCCAAATTCTTTCGCTTTTTTGTTTCCGATGCGATGAACCGATAAGGCGGATTATATCCGTTGTTGCCAAACACGAGCACATAATATTATTATTGAGACAGGGCGGTACTCAAGCTTCCAAAGGGCTATAACTTTGTTACTTTAATTTTACCAGAAAAATGGTAAAGGAAAAAACATTTCTTTTTATCAGACCTACTCACTGTTAAAATAAATTACTCAACTTCGAAGTCACCCTGTATATGTACCGCTCTCACATCGCAAAGTTCTATTATCTTGTCAACTTTCAGGCGCACAGCAAGTAACCGAGTCTCAAAATCGCACTCTAACTGCATATTTTTCAGAACCTCACCGTTTTATACGTAATCTTCCATGTAAAATGAACGGCATAATAATTTTTCATAATCATTCATAGTTATAAATATAATTTTGTTTATGCCGTACAGTATTTAATAACCATTAGAGACACCTAAAACTTATACTTATGTTTATTCTTGTTTTTTAATCTTTGTTCACTTTTGTTATTAATAAATACCCAACTAACAATTATCACTCCTATTAGAGTTGCAATAATGATTATACAGTATTCCTTAAACAGCATTGTATACTGTAAGAACATTAGCAAAACCCTCTTAGACCAGCTATACGAGCGGAATGGGCACACCTAATAGGACACTTCAGTCATTTAAGACGTTGTATAAGGGCTGCAGGTAACAGTTATAAAACAAAAGTGTAAGCCTCTTGCAGCCGCTATAGGGCATTTGCGTCAGTGCAAGATTCAGTTTTTGTCAACTATACAACTACTCTC